TTTCGTCAAACACAAAATTCTGATGGATGAAACCTTTATAGTGTCTTCTATTATTGATGAACAACCCTCATCATGGAAAGACTCCAAACGGAGTCTTAAACACAAAAAGGAGGATATGTCCGTGGAAGAACTTGCCAATCATCTTCGTGTAGAACAAGAGTTCAGCATGCAGGATAAACCCAAGGAGCCTAGCACTCAAGATGGCAAGATTAATGTCGTTGAACATCGGGAGTCCTCCAAACCACATGAAGGACAATATAACGATAAGAAAAAGCATTATGATGATGGAAAAAAGAATGAGGGGTTCCAACGTTTGTGCTATAAATGCAATAAACCGGGCCACAAGAAGAGGGATTGCTCTATGTGGAAAAGAAAGAAGAGTCAAGGAAACCAAGGGGCATCAAAGGACAACTTTGTAGCCATGATCTCTGAAATCAATGTTATTGAAATGACCATTCTTGGTGGATAAACACAGGTGCTACCAAGCATGTGTGCAATGATCGTTCTTTCATCCGGTCATTCACATCGGTTGATGATGGGGCCGACCTCTACATGGGGAACTGTTCAACTATGGAAGTCAAGAGCATGGGACAAGTGAAATTGAAGTTCACATCTAGGATGATGTTAATTTTAAATGATGTATTTTATGTTTGCAGTGTTAGAAAAAATCTTGTTGGTTTCAAACAAGTATTTGAAGCCAATAAGTTTATATTGTGTAAGGGTGGTGTATATGTTGGGTAGGGGTATTATGCCAATGGAATGTTTAAGTTAAATGTAATAATCAATAATGACAATGCAATGAATGATGATGTTTCTCTTTACATCCTTGACTAATTTTTCGTTGTGGCATTCCCGTTTGGGACATGTTAATTTTCATAGAATTAGGGATATGTCTAAATATGATTTGATACCAGTGATAACTGTGGATAGTGAAAAATATAAAACTTGCATATTAACAAATATCACAAGGAAATCTCTTCCAAGTATCCAGAGAAGTACTAAGTTGCTTGAATTAATTTGTAGTGACGAGTGATTTTCACTGTACTCCTACAATTGGAGGAAAGAAATATGTTATTACATTCATTGATGACTGCTATAGATTTTGCAAAGTTTATCTTGTAAATTCTAAAAATTAAGCATTCGAAAATTCAAATTTACAAGACTGAGGTTGAATTGCAATGTGAATCTTCCGTTAAGTGTCTAAGGACCGATAGGGGAGGAGAATATTATAATCCCACATTTTTCCAAAGCACTGATATTGTAATCAAGTAACGACATCATATACACCACAACAAAATGGTGTAGCCGAACAGAAAAATCGAGTCTTAACGGAAATGGTTAATTGTTTATTGTCTAACTCAGGATTAAGTCACGGCTATTGGGGTGAAGCTATGTTAACGGCTTGTTATATTCTTAATAGGGTTCCTAATAAAAGGAATCCAACAACCTCATATGAACTTTGGAACAAAAGACAATCAAATTTGAGTCATCTTAAAGTTTGGGGACGTAGGACTATAGTTAAAGTCCCGGAACCTAAAAGAAAAAAGTCGGGTGAAACAGGAATTGAATGCATCTTTATAGGATATGCTGAAAATAGAAAAGCCTATAGATTTTTAGTCATTGAACCAAATGATTCATACTTGGTTAATACTGTCATTGAATCAAGAGATGTAATTTTTGATGAAACTAGATTTGTATCAATTCATAGACAAAAAGATATTGTTCCAGGTGATCCATGTTGTTTCACTTCACAACAATCAATCTTTTAAAATGGTGAAAATCAAGACGACATTGTTGAAGTAAGAAGAAGTAAGAGAGTTAGAAAAAAAAAGACATATAGAGATGACGTCTACATCTATTTAGTAGAAGGTTCAATTGATAAAACTAGAAATAAAATTCCTTATTGTTATAATATGGAAACGATCCCACTACTTTTAATAACGCCATGAAATCTCCAAATGCACCATTATGGAAGGAGGCTTTCCAAGATGCCATAGAGTCAATATGAAAAATAATACTTGGATCCTAACAGATCTTCCACCCGGTCGCAAACCCATAGATGGTAAATTGTTGTTCAAGAAGAAGTTGTCACGACCCGGAATTCCCATCGCCGAGACCTTGATGGCGCCTGACATTTCACTTGCTAGGCAAGCCAATATTAGAACAATTTACTTCTTGAAACAGCTAAAATGATAACATAAATAAGGAACTGAAATAACTGAAATAATCAAAATGTAAATGCGGAAGTTAAAACCGTAAAACATCTGTTACAAATCCCTGAACCGGGTGTCACAAGTGCACGAGCTACTAGAATAGTACATACAAAGGTCTGAAATAAGGTAAAGTTGTTCGAAAGGAAGATACACAACTAAATGAAAACAGAAAGGGGACTTCAGGAGCTGCGGGCGCTGAGTAGTTGTACCTCAAGTCTCCACAGACTGTCCAATCCGAGCTCTCTAGTAGCCGCCGCTGGGACTCCAAAATATGCATAGTGTCCAGAGTGTAGTATCAGTACAACCGACCCCATGTACTGGTAAGTGCCGAGCCTAACCTCGACGAAGTAGTGACGAGGCTAAGGCGGGTCACCTACACTACAACCTATACGCTGATAGAATAATTGAAATACTGAAGAGAATTAAATAGTCAACTGCAAATGATAACCACAGCCTCAAGATAAACCTGTGTAGTGCAGAATTACCAATCTTTAACAGTTCGAATGCGAATACCGGAAAACCAACAGAGCACAAGAAATGAAAATATATAGGTTGTTCCGTCGCGCAACCCGGTCCCACCAAAAACCACAAATCATCCCTTGTTCCACCAATGAAACATCAACAACAGAGATAATATATGTAAATATGTTGCGGCGCTCAACCCGATCCCACCATATATCAACACAGTATCATAAATCACCCTTATTTCACCATATCAATCCACCCTTATTCCACCTGTTGCGCTGTGCAATCCGATCCCACTGTATAGAACATATTTACCCTTATTCCACCATAACAATCCACCCTTATTACACCTGCTGCAGGGTGCATCCCGATCCCACCATATCAGTACCAAATACTCAAAGCACGATCAAATCAACAGTTCTACCACAAAGCCTTTACGGTCAACAAATACCAATCTGAACCAAAAGGAACTTGTATAGTAAAGAAATCTACACGAGTAATACTAAACAGCGAGACCAATCCAGCAATCGACAATTAGAAGGTTCAAATAAGTTAACTTAAACAAATAACAGGGAGTCATGAAACTATGGAAGAACTAACATCGTGAATAGAAAAGGATATTGAATAACAAGTAGCAATTAAGCATGGAAAGCATATAGGGCATATAAAAGTTATGACAGGAAAGGAAATAACTAAGGGAAACCAGTAAATCAGGGAAAACAGATAATTTGGCAGCGTATAAGCACTCGTCACCTCGTATATACACCGCTCACATGGAATTCATATAACACATAGTATGAGGGTTCCTAATTCCCTCAAGTCAAGGTTAGACACAATATTTACCTCACTCCGCAGTCAATTCAAAGCTCTACCAAGGCCTTTCCCCTAGAATTTGCCGCCAAACCACT